TATGAATCTTTAACACGAGTAAAAAAAGATTGCCCTGCGCATGATTCCAGACGAGGTAAATATTCCTGTGTACTAACCCTGACACTGGCCTAACAAACCCAAACTGTAGTCCTACACTTCCCAAACCCTAATCCAATTTCATATTCTCGAGGGTTTGGCGTAAAGACACTTGTTTTTCGGCCAGTTACTCTTCACACGTCCTCCTAAGGACACAATATAGGTCATCTTTGGCCTGTTTAGCTCTTCAATCAGAGCGTCTTGTCATTTCTTGTAACAGACTGAGATCCCGTAGGAAACACTCATAACACTAAACAAAATCATACAGTTTGAGTATATGGGTTTAGATGATGGGCGAGGGTACTGAATCCATGAGATTAGGAAAGAGGTTGGTAAATAAATAAAAGAGGGGGAAATATCTCTCTTAGCACTGCCGATTCTAAGTGCTTAAATGTCCAATGGTCCATGTGGACGAGCCCAATTGCAGCATGCCAAGACGAAAAGAAAAATTGCTTATGGACAAGTGTACCTACTTAGACGTTGTGCTTTGAGGAGCAAGTCGTAGTTCAAAGTTCAAGCAGCCTAACATAACCCTAATCAATGAGCTTAGCAAATTGACGAAGGTGCATTCAACGCCTCACTACAGCGTCAAAGACCCGTTTGATATAACTTTACATAAATGGTTCAGTTAGGACATACCGCATTGGGACTTAGAAAGGGGTTGATTGGCCGGCAAAGACGCAGCATTTGAAGCGGGTCGAGGTTCCGAAAGAGCACATTTTTCACTTCCACTGGACAGGGGGGACTGCGGCTCGATGGTATATCCATTGGATTCAGCAGGCATTCCATCCACGTGGGCCATAATATCACTCGATGTCAGGTGTATAGACTGAGCATCCTGTCGGGCCAGTTTTGAAGGCGTCAGACTTAGGGAATCGTGGACATGAGCAGTTTCGATCATTGCTATTTCGGTAGGAGTGAAACCGATATCGACGCTGGCGAACGTCGATCCCGAAAAACACAGAGCACCTCTAATGTCCTAAGCTGGCGATTGTTGCTTTGGCAGGGGTGGACAAGCAGCAATCAATAAAGCCAAATGACCGCCCAGAGACCGAGAGAGAGA